TTTCAACACAATCTGGCCTACAGACTTGTTTATGTAAGAATATTTCAATATTCAAATCTCTTTTTAATCTCCCATGCCATTCACTTATTCCTTCAGATTTTGTTATATAATGTTCTCACTACACATAATAATTTTATTTACCCAGTCTATATTTCATCCTTAAAATTTCTCATTTTTCTAATTTATAGTAATAATCCAAAATTAATTTTGCAGTCTAAGATTAATATGACTGTTAAATGAGTTAAGAGTTCTAGAATTAGAGACTTCATCTGCAAAACTGAAAAAGAGAAAATTGGCAGACATTAAAAGTCTACCATGAAAACATGAAATCTATTTCTGCAGTGGGTGGGTGGGTGGAGATAATGACTACAGTCCTAAGGAATGCTAAATCCCACTTATACATTATACGTCTGGCAACTACACATTCATAAGTAATCATAACAAAATGAAAAACTTGTAAAGATTTCTTTGATTCAGACCTGAACCTTGGGGATGTCATGGGAATATCCACATAGTTTTTTTAGCAATATCATTATTGCAGAATTGTTTTTAAAAATCATTCTAGTCTACTGAATTTCCTGATAGCATCCCATCCCAGTACTAACCAGGCCCAGCCTTAGTTAGCTTCCAAGCCCCATTAAGTCAGCTAGGTGACTATATTCAGTTTAAACTGTCAGATTCAGCTGGTATGGCACGGCGAAAGCACTGCTCAGCCGCGCCTAGTTAATTTCACTGCCCGGGTGCTAGCAGAGGAAAAGGGGAAGTGAAAACCGCGAACTGATTACAGCCAGGTGGCAACGCTTAACTCAAACCTCAAGCAGATACTTTGTATCAGTGCCGGCTTCCCTCGAGCGCTGCAGACAAAGGGGAGGGCAGCGGATCGGAAGGGAAGTAATCAACACGTGATTGAGAACTCCCAGCTTTGCACGCAACAGGAAAACCCAACAAAGACAACAACCACACAACCAATAGACAGCAATTAAAACACAAAAGAGCTGGACTGAATCTGCCATTTGGGCAAGGGGGGGATTACTGCGGGTAATCAGTAACTAAGCAATGGGGTAAAGCGCGGGAACGGGGTAGCTATAAAATACGTTGTAAGATGTGCCAAGCCAATCCTGGCTTTGTTTGTACCACCCACATTACACTCAAGTAGACTTCTTTTGCAACACTCACGTGTCACAAGAGTTTTACTTGGAGCTGAACAGGGCAAACCTTACATAAACATGCTATGGATCAGTATATTCTCTCTCTGTGTGTCTCTCTCTCTCTCGTCTCTCTGTCTCTATCTCCAGATTTTTTTTTTAAATCATGTTACTGTGTTCAAAGCAATCTGCTATTAATTTAAAAAATACAACACTGAAATTTATTATGTGAAAACTTCCAGAGATAATATATATATA